AGCCATAACTTTGAAACAAAAGAAAACACCCGCTAATTTTTTCACCTTTATTTTTTTACATTTTCATATAAAATAGGGACAGAATAATACAGAAAATCTTAGGAGTCTATCTAAGGTTGATTCTCTTCAAAAGTTGTTTAATAGACAAAGACATAAGTGAAGGTAAAATGCAGTAACTGCACTTTACCTTCATTTATGTCTTCATCAGAACAACTGTTGTTCTGCTTGTCAGGAAAGAGACTAGTATTATCAGCTAACAAATAAGAATTTTTTATGATCATTCTTGCTGTAAGAATGGGTTTGCAATGGGTTCCATGCCAGCGACAGGGCAGACTAACACTACAGCTGTTCCTCGGCAGACTGCCAGGCCAAGTTCTCTTGTTTCATCAGTGAGTTTGAATGGATCGTCTGGATCTGTAAGTTACAAACAACCAAAATTCTCATTAAAAAACATATTTGGTAGTTGTTGCTTTTCTTGTGACATCACAGAACCACATTGGGACATTCCATTTTTTATCCACCCCCCCCCCCTCCCCTGACTGACTGATCTGACTGAACCCTGTTGGGATGCAATTTTTGTCATAGGGGTGGGGGGGGGGGGGAGATTTTAACAGAAACAAGGCTATTGGAATCGGTAGGATAAGAAAATTACCCCTGTTGGAATCGATGACTTGTTTTCAGGTATTGAACACAAGAAATTATATTACCGGTAGCTTATCCCCATGAAAGCGAAGCAACCATGTATTACTTGCAGGATGGCGGGGAGTTCGAGATAGCCAATAGTAAATGACTGAAGGGCAAGGGGAAATGGATTGGTATTTTGTTTATTTTATACCATGTATATAATCATAATGAGTACACAAAAATGAGAAATAAAATAAATGATCTTGTTTATTCTAACAAATTTTTCCAACTAGTGCTATAAGGCATGTAAGGGACTAGTGGGGAGAATTTGTGTCCTGACATTGGGGTTTATCTGGGTTTATATAAAAGCTATAAGAGCAATAACCATTCTGTACCCATGCAGACATGAAATAAGGTCAAATAAAACTCTGTTCTCCTACCTCTTAAATATTCTGTTGTGTTATCCAGTACTACGTTCAGCAGCGCATCGAAACCTTTCAAAACTCCTGTAGCTAAAGAAAACAGTGCACATTTAAACCAACATTCAATTGTCTCTGAATGACAGCATGATCATGACGGCACATGAAAAGAGTCCTAAATCTTACCTTCTCTGCCGCCTTGAAACTTCACTCGGACTCTTTTATCGAGGAACTTGGATAAATCAAATATGCTCTCCTTTTTCTTTCTGTCCGTCTAAAAAACGAATCCATGATTCACAGTTAAAAACAGAAAATCAAATCGAATGTTTGACACAAACGAATGAACTTACCGCCATCTTGGTTTTTTCCCGTTTGGAATGATGGGATAGGAGAGATTTTTCCCCAGACCCCCACCATAAGCAACGATCGCACGGTCGTTTCCGTTTCCCGCGTATTCTACGGGAGGGGGGAGAACAAGGATTTGTGTGTGGGGGGGGGGGGGGGGGGCATTTAATTTCGAGATAAGTGAAATGAGGGATCACCCTCAAAAAAAGGGGGGCGGTAGCCTGAATTTCAGCCGTTTAAGCGGCTTTTAAAGTGAGAAACCAAAATAATTCGGAAATAATGCTAAATTTCCACATGCATTTCACGAGTATCGCATAATTTCAAGAAATCAGGGTCAATTCCGTAATTTTGCAAAGCTCTAAAGAGAAAACACGATTTACGCCAAAACGAGGCTAAAGTACGCGTAGCGTACTTTACGCCTCCCACATGGGAGGGAAATTCCAAGACGGGACATATTATATATATTTAAATGAACACAACGAGTGTTTATGAGCAACCATGCGGGAGGACCGGTATGGGTGGGAACTCTGTCAATTGTCAATCTACTAATTTTTAACTTAAAATTCTAATTTTAAAACTACATCAAATCTTCAATATTTCTCATTTTCCTAAATTTTACAACTCCTTTGAGAAAAACTATTTCCTTCCAAAACACTCCATAACATAGATTCATGGGATGAGCATAGAGTTTTTGGATTGCTTGAAACGTGAACGAGATATTTCCATTTAACCCATGTTAAGTCGCGGAAAAATGGCATTTAGGTTAAGTCCCGCCTTAAGGCTAGACCCCATATATTGGCTCATAGTATTGAATTTGTCTTTAAACAAATCATCCTAACTAAATATATCTGATAACATTTTGGTCATGTAACGCGCGCTCTGATTGGTTGTGGAGTCATTTTGGTCATGTAACGCGCGCTCTGATGGGTTGTGAAGTCGTTTTGCATGAGGCTATGTAACACGGGCGGTCACACGAGAGCGAGAGTTAATTCTCGTGAGAGTTTTCTTCAACTCTCATCGACTATCATCAGGTTCAAATTCACTTACATGTGACAGCGCATAATGAGAGTCGCTGAGAATGCATGAGAATTTCAGGCCAAACGAGAGTGAGCCTAGAGTTTGAACTCTAGGCAACTCTCATCCAGCTCGTTTGGCCCGGGCTTATAAGAGCTTCGGGATGCAATGATACGTCATCATAGCCTCATCGGCAAAACGACTTCACAACCAATCAGAGCGCGCGTTATATGACCAAAACGACTTCACAACCAATCAGAGCGCGCGTTATATGACCAAAATTTTAGTAATTCAATACTATGAGTCCTCTCTCGTCACTTGAAACGCGTAGCGGCCACAATATGGGGCCCTGTTATAGTATTTGAGTCTGATTTATTAATAATAATAATTTGATTTCTTCCGTCTCTCAGCTCCTGTCTCAGCTTATTCCAATTTTGAATGTTAAAATGTCCCATAATAACAGTTTTTTTAAAAACCAGAGGTCTACCTCTGTTCTACTTCAGCATCTCACATTTGTTTGTTTTTTAATTAAAAAACGACAAAAACAGATCCTGTTTATTTTTTCAATGAGTGGTTCTGTCGCCAAATATTTTGTGTTTCAGTTTTAATAAAATTTACCCCTTAATCACATTCACTGGTCTTCAGTTTTGTTCCAATTAAAATACAGCGCAAAACCATGCAATCAATATGTCCGCCTACTATATTATAAAAAAATAAAAATAAATTTAAAAAATACATGAATTGACCACTCCCCAATGGGGCTTTTCAGGCGCAATGTAAACACATACAGAAACAAATTTGCAATTTGCAAATTCGCATTTCCTGAGGCTTCCAGGTTGTAAGAGTCAACCACAAATCTGACACTCCCGGTGTGTTCTTGAACAGATGATTTGTTTCTATCTGTCGATATTATTTGTTCTCGCGGCCTCTTAAAGTTCTTTTCTCAGTGCTCAACTGTAGTACTGAGGAGTTGTACTTTGATTCCATTAGTTAAAAAACGCCCTCATTGGCTGTTGTGGACTGACACGGCGAGATGACATAAGTTTCAGGTTAATAAGAAAGCACTTTTGGCTTCGTTTGTAGCCAGTTTAATAAGTGGAGCAAGGATTTGAATTCTTAACAGGCTTACCTTTGAAGCAGGAGATTCTTTCTTGGGAAGTCAGGTGAGCTGAAAAGGTTATAGGCTCGGTTTAATTTACAGTTCTCAGCTAAGAAATCATTATTATTTTTTTCTGCCATGTTCAGTGTTCTTCAAGATGTTCCCATAGAACCTTATCATAGAAGCCGTCAAACCAAACATAACTATATTAAAATTAGAAATGAAGTGGTGGTCCGGCGCTATGTGAGGAAGCGGATTAATGACTCGAAATTTGCACACATGGCCCGTCAGACTGAAAAAATTGATAGAAAAAAAAGATCACCCATTGTTGTAAGTTTTCAGGGTTTTTATATTTAGTTTGTCTTTGTCCTGATCTCCTTGGGTCTTACTTCCTTTACCGTCGCGACTATGCCTTGATCTAAATTGTCTTTTCTTTGTGTGTGAATCGTACTTCTGATCGTTGCTAACAATGTTTTTTATTTGTCTTTTATGTCGGGCGGAATATGCCATGAAATAATCTCATTTTCCTTCCTTTTGTGGCGACAAAGATGAGCCAGTTCGGAAGCGACCAAAATTAATTTGTCCTATATATATGTTAAAGATAAAAACATGAGTAGGCTTAAAATGCAGGTGTTTTGAAAAACGTAATGTAAAATGCTTTTATGATCATGAAGGGTTCAATAACTGAATCTTCGATAAAATTTAGTTGTTAAAAGTTCTAATTCCTTTTCAATTCAAGCCAATGGCGTTTTATTTTAAGCTGGTTTGGTGTATAGGACCGACCACCGAGTGCTCGGCTTCTGTGATCTAAGAATCGCTGCACAATTTTAACATAATGCTACCTGTCCAGTTTTGTGTATTTTTTCTGAGACATAATTAAGAGATGCATGTGAGTACTTCGAGGCAGACATGAGTCAGCAGAGAATTGTTGCTAATTAATTGTCGCCGGAAATTGTTCTTGTGTCAATAACCGGTAAATTAGTTTACACTATAAAAGCAGCGAGACAATATATGGAATGGCACAGCTCTTTGCGTCAGCTGCAAAAGGATAGTCATTTATCAATCAACTTTGAACGTTTGTAGCAGAATTAATTATCCCCACTCGGCGGCTTGATTCGTAAGTTGGACACTTCTAAAGAACAAATTGTAAATACTTACCACCCAACTGATTTAACTCTTGAAATTTCTTTTTCATCAGTCTAATGTTTAACTGATATTGGTATTACAATCCAGTGAATAATTTGAAAACGGCTATTCTCGCGTAAATTCAGATGATATATACGGTATTTTCAATTTGATACTGAAACTAGCATGGCTACTATAGTTCAGTGCAAGCAAAAAGCAAAGCCTTCTCGAGTCTATAGTGGCCCACAACTGCCGGAGCTTATTCCACCTAACATGGTTAAACCCAAACATTTTGTCAAGTTCGCCGGTACCCATTTGAGTGGAGAGGAGTAATGTGAGAGTAAAGTGTCTTGCCCACTGAGAACACAACACAGTGACCCCGGCCATGGCTTGAACCCGGACCACTGGATTCGGAGTCCAACGCGTTAATCCATTATAAGCCACCTCGTCTCCCTTCGCGGCAGGAAAGAGGCCGGCTGCCTAATAGCTCGGTCCATACTAGCATCCCATCCAAAGGGAGTAAGTCGGTGCTGCAGAAACTGTGCGTGCGCTCACTGAATTTCAATGTTCATCAGTTATTATGTGAGTGAATTTTGTGTTGGGAACAAACAACTTAACGTCTCTTTTTCATTTTTTTTAGCAGTCTACCACACTTCACGAGTCATGTATAAATGGGAAGGCAATGTAACGGTTCTGATTATTTTACAAGTCTTTTATGGCGTGTTTTTGTCATTGGAATCCTGAAAAATACCCTCGCATTTCGTGAGATCAACCGACAGAAAGGAAACGGTAAATTGACGACAAACCAGCTCTTAATGGTCCATCTTGCAGTGTCGGACATTTTAATCCTGCTCACATTAACACCGGCCATTTACTACGTGGACGTGGACGTGGACGCTAAATATTCGTCGTATTTTGCCTGTCACGTGATGTTTCCCATGGCAGTATTTTATCCATACCTGCGCGTGTTCACACAGGTTGTCATAGCCATTGAAAGAAGGCGCGCTATTGTGACCCCGCTTAAACCTCGCTTCACTCGATCATCTGTAGTTATTATGTTGAGCCTGTGTTGGCTGCTGTCAGCGGTGTTTACAGCTCCCGTCGTGCTAGATGCTTCAATTGATCCCCTTTCATGTGGCAATGAAGAACCAAACCGCTCGTACCGTACCGCTTTCTACACCTCAAGGCGCTGCTGCAGTTCTTTATACCACTGGTTATCATAGTCGCTTGTTATATTCAAGCAGGGATGGTCCTCAAAAGATCCCGCATTTTACAAATTGCAACAGCGAAATCCAACGCTGTTCAACGTGAAGCGAATCGCCAGCAGCATATCCGCGTGTGCAAAGCGTTCTCCATCATGGTTCTTGTGTTTGCTGTTTGCAGTGCACCCTTAAATGCAATTTGCTTGTGGGTGGAGTACGGAAGCGGCCGTTACGAAGCGTTTGAAAATCAAGCGGTTTATTGCTTTGTCGCTAATTTCCCCTTATTATTTACGAGTTTTCTTGATCCTATCATTTATGGAACGTGTTGCCATCGCCACATCCCATCGAAAGTATGGCGGGAGCTTGTGAGCTGGAAAAACAAAGCCTTCACCCACGTTACATGTTCTTGTAAATAGATAAGATGCGAGCTCTGTTATTCGCGGCATCGCTGTCGCCAGATTCCAACCTCGTTCTCAGGGTCTTCTCGCTTTTTCAAGGTGGCCGATGGAAAGAGCTGGGTCACATGACTTAAAGTCAACCAATGGCAAGCCTTCCGCCATTTTGACGACACAGGGTGCATGCGTTCCCGCGCTTGACACAGGGTGCATGCGTTCCCGCGCTTGACACAGGGTGCATGCGTTCCCGCGCTTGGCACAGGTTGCATGCGTTCCCGCGCTTGAAACCAGTTTGTATTCATGGCTCTGGCGCTTGACATAGGTTACATGGTTTTGCCTCTGATTGGCTTATTTTTATAGTCTGAAGGTGGGGGGGGGGGGGGGGGGGGGGGGGGGGGGGGGGGGGGGGGGGGGGGGGGGGGGGGGGGAGTGGAGGAGTGATGTCATAGCCACAATAACTTTCATATTTATTGAAGATGCTACAAAAATAACTATAATAAAAAGATGTATCTGTTAGAGGTACTATCTATCATCTTGACATTGAATCAACAGAAGAGTTTGTGTGTCACTGCACTCTGCGGTCCTATACAGTCTACATTTATTGCCTAATATTACCACTTGCAAATAATTATTTCAATTTTACATGTTTGCTGCAGTTGCTATTGCTTGGGTGTAGACTACAGCTTTCATTACGCTAGCGTTACAATGTAACATTGCAATTGTAATTCAAAATTGTTAATATGTATACCTACTAATTCAGTTGTCAAACCCGACATTAATATAATCAGAAAAAAATGAAAATTTCGAATGTTTGACCAGCTATTTATATACTAGATAAATCAAGAAGCTGAAAAAAGTAGAAGAAACAACTGTATAAAGCAAAATAAATATCCTAAAAACTAAGTTGGACGACTGTTTTTGGTCTCCGCTTTGGAAAGTGTAAAGCATATGTAACAAAATTCACGAGTATTATTATTGACCCTATATTTCCCGTTAAATATCCTCATCCACTAAACATGGCACAATCTTTTCTCTTTTCCTCCATGTGAAGGCATTTGTCATCTGTCCTTCCACGGTAAATTTTCGAAACATTTTTTTGGTGCGGAACCTTGCAGAGAACTCAATCGAAGGTATGAATTTGCGAAATCTCTACCAGTGATAACTGTCTTGGCTTCAAACTGGAGCTCCGTGACTCCTACCCAGCCATCCTAAAATAAATGGAAAGAAATGATGGTGAATTTTAAGCTTGGTAGAAATACGGTCAGTGACACAAGCTACTCGGAAAAAGTATCCGAGTCAGTCTCCCAACAGGAGTCGAACCTATGACCTTCCGCACACCGGTCGGACGCTCTACCACTGAGCTACAGGAGACTCGTGGGAATATCTGATTCACATGTTTCAACTGAAGCAAGGTGATTTTGCTGACAGGAAGCAATGGCTGTTCTCGTTCACAACCAGAGTCAAACTTTGAGTCAATAAATGTGGTTGTAACTTTTGACTCTGTTGATGAATCCAAGTGTGTGACCATTCAAATGAAAGCTAGCTAGAGAGCAGTACTTTTATGTGGTACTGTTTGTTTGTGACAATTTTGCAAAATGAAATTCAGGATTTTCCCTCAGTTTTGAACTTAGCACTCTTGTTTTGATAGGCGTCAGCGGTTAGCACAAAAGAAACCTTTCAACAATCAGAGAAACTATTAAACGTAGCTGTAGAACCCACAATATTCAGACAACTAACGCTTCGCCTTGTCGAGACTTCATATGTCCAAGTAAAACATTGCTTTATAGAAGTATACTTCAGCAAAGTTACTCTTTCGTCTGTACAAAAACCGGGCGCCGAGAGCGCGCTCACCGTCAATACGGACGTTTGTACAACTGGATAGGTGAGCAATGAGAAAAGGCTGCATTCGTAAGTCTAGCTTGAGCGACTCCGAATGATCATTTAATGGCCTGCGAGCAAGTAAAATATATGGACTGCTTAACACATACCTGGCATCTGATGAAGAGGGTATCACGATCTCGGTCAAATTTCACTTCTCCTGGTTTTGTGGATATTACCTCCTCAAGAGTTACTATGAATAAAGTGAAACACACAGAGAGAGTGGTTAGTAAGAGAATGTCTTCACTCAAATAGCCGAGAGAACGCCAGTTAAAGTCTAACGTAAACTTAACTGTATTGTTAATTAACCCTGGGTAATTAACCAAACAAAACAATGAAAATATCACAACTTACAATGAAGAAACTCCTTGGACATATTGATCAGCTTAACCTTTTTTCCCTCCCAGCTTGTCTTAACTCCAACCTAACAGAAACAGATGTGTGAAATGTACGTCAAATTGACAAATAAACAGGTGATAATCCGGTTATTTCAACAAGACATTCTCCTTTTTACTCTCGGTATCGTCACATAGTTGTATGAACATATAAAAAAATAAAGTTCTTACTCTGGACGAGAGCGCATTCCATCGTCTCCGGATATAGGACCACGTGTGACACGCCCAGTCAATGTAACCCACCTCTTTAGTAAGGCGACGAGCTTTGGAAAATGAAACAAGGGTTAATATCTTACATAAAAGAAACAAAGAGACAGAAGTCAGGGCACGCCTACATCAAGTGGCACAGTTTTGTAGACTGTAAAACAGTCCGTATTTTCGCGCGAGAGTGTCGGGCTGAACGCGGCCGAAGGATCTGGAACCGAGAAAAAGAGAGACTGTTTTGCAGTCTACAGTTTGTTACCCCACTCCTTGACGGAGTTTGAACAGTGAAGTGGCTCATTGTAAATTCAAGGATTAACATGATGGCATTTCATTTATATTGCATATATTTTTAAGCAAAGTAATATGCATGAATCTGTACAATACTTACCCCAGCTAGCTTTTATCTGTCTTGGATTTACTGGATTTTTCCGTAATGTCTCCAAATTCTCAAGAGTGTACATCAACTAAGAATAAATAATAAATCGTAAAGTCATGAAAGTAATGTCTTGCCAGTACAGTAACTATTGATCACTGCTTCATTACCAGAGCAAGAAACCAATAACTGCACCACTTCGGACGATGTCTGCTTGTCTAGCGTCTCTGTATTATCTGCGTTATTTCTATCATTTTCTTTTTCGTATAATTGGTATTCTTTGTTTTCAGTCCCACAATCTATCTTCAAGAAGGGAGTATAATTGCAGAAAAAGTTTTGGCGGATCATTAGAACCTATAGAACACACGGCACGGCACGGCACGGCACGGCACGGCACGGCACGGCACGGCACGGCACGGCACGGCACGGCACGGCACGGCACGGCACGGCACGGCCACGGCACGGCACGGCACGGCACGGCACGGCACCGTAATACAACACAACACAACACACATGCTGAAGTCCAATGAATGCTACACAAGAAAGTACTCCTTTATATATAATTTGTGGAATTTGGTATTTTGATAGAAAATGCCAACAAACAGAGGCTTATGTCAAATTTATTTTAATTAATAATTACTCACCATTCTTGTGCCAAGCATTGCTAGTTGATTAGAAAGGTCATCATACATTATGTCTTCTGGAATCTTTGAAGAATAAATTGAACATCACACTCAATACAGAAAATGTTCAAATTGTTAATGAATTGTTACAATCCTACTTTTAAAATAATTAATGATGCAAGCAATTTCCTAACCTTGTATGTTTCTTGAAGCAAACTCACTCCAGCATCAAATCTATCAAGTGACATAAAATATGTGAGGATAATAAAGTCTGTTCACTGTGGCAACTGAAAGTGCCACCCACTTCTGGTTTCTGTATCATGAAGCAATGTAGTCCATTGTTAAGCCACCATCTTTGATTCACAAAACTATAGGGGCAA